TATTGAGCATTTAGTGAACCACTTATTGAACAGCCACACCCCTATCATTCTAGGCCTTTGTTGTCTAGAAATGGTCATCCCTGGAAACACTCCCAGGTGCTGGTTGGTGACTCTGGTTCTGTTCTACAAGAAGAAAGCCCTCGCCAAAAGCAGATGGACATCCTGGACCAGATCTGAGATCTGTTGCTGCTCCCACCCTGAGCTCATGACCCAGGTTCTTGACATGCTCATAACCATTGCCATCTACTGCTCATTACAGATCATATGGGTGGTGACTTTCTTAGCTACCATCTTTCTTGGCCTGGACCTTGGACTAGCAGCAGCTGTGGCATTCCAGCTGCTGACGGTGGTGATCCGCTCCCAGATGTGAGTACTTGTTGAATGCAATGATATCTCAGGGTCTCCTGTTATAAATTAACTCCCTCTGTACAGAGAAGGCCAACAGCCCCATGCCTCAGCAACCACATATGGAAAAATAATTTACAAGCATAAACCCTTGGCTGTGGGGATCTGCTTCAGTCTGCCACTGCAGCTGAGATTGTTTTATTTGATCCTTCCCATCCTTCAAGTTTTGATATAGGATACCAATAATTTTGTGTGTGTTTTTGTTCACAGTCCAAGCTGTGCTGTTTTGGCTAATGTTGGGAGAAGTAACATCTACAGAAACAGGAAGGATTACACTGATGTAAGAAATGTCATTTCTTTCATTATCTGCTGCACTTGTGCTTCTGTAACAGACATAGTTACTTACAATTCTGCTTCATTGTGCAGATCTATGAGCCAGAGGGAGTGAAGATTTTCAGATGCTCCTCTCCGATCTTCTTTGCTAATATTGAATTCTTCAGAGAGAAACTCATCACTGCTGTAAGTGTCTGGGGCTGTCATCCTGAATATATGAGTTGTATGGCACGTTAAGGTGAATACAATTTCCCAGTAATTACTATATATGCAGTTGGTCCACAGTTCAAAGGTGAAATTTTCATGGTTAATTCAAATATTATTGCCACTACTGTAATCTCACATGTATGCAGACACCCCTGAGAAAGAGAACAGCCTGACTCATGCTGAACTTACATCATAGCAATGTTTATACTATATATATACTTATATATGTACATGTATGCCATATATTGTGCCATAACAATACATATTTTAAGTCCTTTACAAGAAAGTAGTGGAAACACAGATAATATAAAGGGAAATAATTTTATTTTACTGTCATCTATATTATTCACACCAAATAAAGGCTAGTTTACTTCATATTGCCCCCAAAAAACATAACCACAACAGTCAGAAGAATGCTGAATGAAATCACTCTATTGAAGAGGTCTTAATGTCTTCCATAACAAACTGGTGAAGGCAGCCAGTCTTTCCATAATCAGCACAGAGATCCAGGACCCCTGAGCTCTCACCATGCCAGCGAGGCCCACCATCCCCAGACTGAACACAACTTGTACTTATAACCTTCCCTTACTGCTGCCCTTAGTGGGGAGTTGACTACCCCGAGCACTGGTAATGAGCATTTCATACTTCATGTGAGGGACTGAAACTGGCAGAGGAACATGGGAATCCAACACACGTGGTTCTCCATGTGTTTGGCTTTCACCTCAGAAGAGCATAAGGGGGTTCTTTTCTGTGAGAGCAGATGCTCATACAGCTCTCTTTCTTTACAAATACTGGTACTTCTAATACCTTTCTCCTCTACCCACTAGACGATGAGGCAGAAGACTTGCAGGAATCTAGTGTTCTCATAACCCTTACTAGCCTAATTTACCCACCATCTAATTTTGTTAAAACCAGCGAGGAGGTTCAAGAGACATACGCAGCCAACATGATCAAATTTGGTTTTCTTCTTCAGGAAAAACAATGTGTGAATGACTCATGCTGTGGTCGGGTGGCACAGAGCAGATACAACCTGTGAACTCTCTAGTCTTGGTCACCTGGGTGTCCATCTCATAATGAAGATGAGTAGGACATGCCAGCACTGTGCCAGCCTGCTGGAGTTAGTGGCCTTTGCTACAGCACTGTCACTGCTATAATGCTGTCCATGCTAGTGTCCTAAAGCTAGCACAGATAGGCCTGCCTGGTGTGTAGCACTACCTGTAGACATCTTTCCAACCAAGAAAGAGCCCTTGTTTGAATTGAAGACAAATGGTAGGCAACATCAAGTTCAAATCATGACTGTAAAGAAAAGACACATGAGATGCCTTGTCCTTATCTCGCTGTCACTGGGGTGTTTCTGTTTTTGATTATTCAAAGTGCTGTTTTTGTAGGTTGGCTTCAACCCACTGAGAGTCCTGAGGAAACGCAATAAAGCTCTGAGGAAGATCAGGAAGATGCTGAAGAAAGGAGAGCTGCAAGTGACACCCGTATGTAATGCAACTCTACCCCCAGCAGAGGGGAGTTAAGCAACCAGCTCCCTGGCTTTACATGGCAGAGAAGTACCTCACAGCCTCCTGTCCTAATTAGATATGCTACTCCCCAAGTTTCCACTTCAAGATTTTAAATTGCTCTCACAGTTAGAGACCTACAGATTTACCGGGGCAGAGCTTGTATGTGTCCACTAGAGCTTTGTTTGGCATTAAATGGCAGGATCAGATCCCACAGAGGTGATGATCATGCTCCATTAATGGTAGGATAAAGCTGGTTTTCTCCCAGCCCAAATCCTGCATGCTTTTTGTTGACTAGTTCCAAAATCGCTGATTTGAAGCATGTCTGACAATTGACTTCAAGGAACAATAAAAAGCCATCATTAAGTGATTATGATGATAATTTAATAATTTCCAGATTTCTCCAGGCAAGGGAGAGACAGAACTTTTTCTAGTGTAAGGTGCAGGTAGGTCCTGCTCCTTCTCATGGGAACATCAGTTTTGCATTGCCACTGCTCTTACCCTTGCCTAAGAAGCACTACTACCCTGGCTGGGTCTTAAAAAAGAGTACTAATTATGGCACTTTTCTCTGTCAACACAGAAAGGCTTGATTTCCATGGCTAACCATACATATGAGTCAGATGAAGAATTAGACAACAACAAAATAGAGGAGCTGGACCAGCCCACCAACATGACAGACTTGCCCATTCAGATCAACTGGGGCACTGACCTCCCACCTGGCATCACTGTGCCCCAGGTCAACATCCACAGCATCATACTGGATTTCTCATCAGTATCCTTCCTCGATTTTTCTGCCATGACAGTCCTCAAAAAGGTAATCATAATTCAAAAGACAAACAGTGATCATACGAAACTTATGAATGCAGTTACACTTGAGGGATACACGAGGGAAGAGATGGTGCCCAGAGAGACATGGACAGGCTTCAGGAGTGGGCCCATGTGAAACTCATGAAGTTCAACAAGCCAAGTGCAAGGTGCTGCATGTCAATCATTGCAATCCCCTGTATCAATACAGGTTGGGGAATAAATGGATTGAGACCAGCCCTGTAGAGAAGGAGATGGGGATACTGGTGGACGAAATATTGGACATGACCTAGCAATGTGCACTCTCAGGCCAGAAAGTCAATCATATCCTGGGCTGCATCAAAAGAAGTGTGACCAGCAGGTCAAGGGAGGTGATTCTGCCGCTCTACTCCAGCCTTGTGAGAGCCCACCTGGAGTACCCTGTTCATCTGTGGTGTCCCCAGCACAGGCAAGACATAGATATGTTAGAACAGGTCGAGAGGAGAGCCATGAAAAGGATCAGAGGGCTGGAGCATCTCTCCCATGAGGACAAGATGAGCAAATTGGGGTTGTTCAGCCTAGAGAAGAAAAGACTCTGAGGAGATCTTGGTATATGGCTTTTCCATACTTAAAGTGGGCCTATAAAAAAGCTTGGAGAGGGACTTCTTACAAGGGCATGTAGTGATAGGACAAGGGGCAATGGCTTTAAACTGAAAGAGGGCAGGTCTAGATTAGATATTAGGAAGAATTCTTTACTGTGAGGGTGGTGAGGCACTGGAACAGGTTGCCCAGAGAAGCTGTGACTGCTGCATCCCTGGTAGTCTTCAAGGCCAGGTTGGACAGAACTTTGAGCAACCAGCTCCAGTGGGAAGTGTCCCTGCCCATGGCAGGGAGGTTGGAACTAGGCGATATCTCTCAGGTCCTTTCCAACCGAGATGATTCTATGATTCTATTCTGTGTTTATAGCCTGCTTTTTAAAAGTATTCCTATATGGATTGAAAGGTCAGTGGCAACCTTTGAGTGCATGTGAATTTTAATGTACATTTTCCATAGAAAATGTTTAGGAAATTGTTTAAATAATCAATATAAATTGTCTTGGCATTAAAGTGTTGGCTGTGGTAGCCTTTCTTCATCTGATAAAATTTCAAGAAGCTTTACAGAAATGTAGATATGAAATATGTCTTTAAACACCCAGCTGGGAGTTGAAGGATCGGAGTTCAATTTCTGCTCCTCCTCTTGCTTCCCCAGATGATCTTGAACAAAGCAAAAGGCACAACATTTTCACAGTAGCAGCTTCAGTTAACTATATAGAGACACATGGGGTGTGTAAATTTATTTCCATAGGAACTAAAACCCAGTGGGAACTGTAATTCTGCTTAAATTCCCGGTTATAAAAATCTCCCCAGAAGATTTTGAAGTCTTTTTTTTTTAAGTTTCACCATGAGTCTTGTAGGTACAATAAAGTCATACAACTCATGAAAGATCACCTTTTTCTCTGTGAGCTAAAAGTTTTCAGTAGTGCCCCTTTTCAAAAGGATTGGCCATCGCTGTCTGGAGCCATATGAAAGGACTGTCCTGCCTCTAGGTGCAGCAGAGTTTGAGTTCAAAGCCACTTGCCATTGTAGATCTTAAAATTGTAGATCTTAAATGTCTTAAAGTGGTTTGTATATTTGCTGTGGCTAATCACCATAAGGGTTGTTATCATACTGCAAAAAACAGCAGTATCTAAATGGTGCCTCCTTCTGGTTTAACAGACTTTGAAAGAATTTGTCCGGCTGGACATCGACATTTACATTGTTGAGTCACACGGTGAGTACTTGCCTTTCCGTTGGCATCACCGCAGGTGCCTCATCCCACTGCCTCCCTTGCTGGCCACTGAGCACGGCTCTGGAGATTCACCACTGTTTTACTTTCCAGTCTTGGATAACAAACAGACCCAGCTGAATGGAAGTGTCATCCCTCCCGTGCTGTCCCCAAAAGACTGGGACCGTGTGTAACAGATCATTTACCTACAGCCACTGCAGTTCTGGGCTGGCTGTGAGACCTGCGATTGGGCACCCTGGGTTGGGCATTAAATAAGAAAAGGGGTTCAGACTCCCTCCTGCTTGGCATTAAGCAGGGCACTACTGATAGGCATTTGTGTTCTGCCCTTTCCACATCCATAAAGATGAAACCATCAGCTTTAATAAATAAAACAGTCCATTATACCAGGAATTCCTATGTTCACTCAGTGGGCATGCTCAGGATACACTATTTCTTCCTTTTTAAGGCCTGCATATCACTTTGTGCTTTGATTTTGTTCCCTCACAGAGGGCCTCCTGGACAAACTGGAGAGAAGTGCATTTTTTGATGAGGAGATTAAGTCATCCATGTTTTTCCTCACCATTCATGATGCCGTTTTACACATTTTGCTGAAGAAGGACACAGCCAGCTCCCCAAAATTAAAGCTCACTAAGGTAACACTACAATCTTCATCTTTCATTATTTTAGTACCTTTCCAGTACTGCCAGGCATCCAGCAGTGTGTGCTACACTGTCTCTCTATTTGAAAAGTTAATGACTAAAACTCAGCTGGTCTTCAATAAATTTGGAAAGCAAGAGTGGCCCCTGGTTCAGGTGCCTGGCAAACCACTAGTGAAAGGAGCGAATAATTCCTACTGGTGACTGGCTTGGCCATAGACTTCACCTGAAGTCACCTCTTTGGGAAGAGCACAGTGTGGGTGAGATCCCAGCCCATTCGTCAGCAGTCCTCTATCACCACTCATCCAGCAAAGACTGCTCCTTTCACTGCAGTGGCTCCTGCAAGGCAGAATTTATGCTGCATGTAGTCATGTAGGCTTTCCAGCCCTGTCTACCTTCACAAGGAGTGCTAAAGCAGTGTAGATAAATTAGTACAGCCAAATTTGGTGATGGCCTTCCTGGAAGTGTTCTTAAATCAAGAGCAAGAAAGGATCCTTCATACATTAAATCTGTTTAACTGTACCAGACCCAGAATGCTGCTCACCTGAAACTGTCTAATTCCACTTAGCTGAACTGGCCCAGCCCTTCTGCGCTGACCCAGAGACCTGGCAAGGGTCATAAAGGACCGACGAGTGAGAGCTTCCTTCCTTCTAGGTCAACTTCCCAGGCATTAGATCAACTTCTAGAGATTTAGAAAGCAAAACCTTCTTTAATGTGAAAAAGGAAAATCAGAAAATAAGAAGCAATCCATTTCCTAACCCACAACTTCCTGTGTTCTTTACAGGAGAGCAGTAGAAGCAATGACTATGTCATCATCCCCAGGAATGGACTGCGCAGCCGGGAATGCACAGTAAGGCTCTGTCTGTGGCACTCTAAACGTAGAAAACACAGCCCAAAAAGCTGCTCATGGGAATCTGCTAGGTCAGATAACAAAAGCATCTTCATCCCTGAGCTCTTGTGTCAGCCCAGGGCAGAAAGCATCCAGACAGCTTATTGATGGGATTTGACTTAAGGCAAAGCCTTCCGGGAGTAGGAGGCCCAGGGCTCGGCTCACAAGCCATCCTGTGTGCATGGAGAGGCTGCAGAGGGAAAGCAGGCAAAGGCTGTCTCCCCAGGCTGTCCCACCTGGTCTCCTGGCCACCACAGCTCCCCTATGAGGAGCTCACTGGTGGAATGCCCTTGTGGCACAGAAGTTAATATTAGTCCAGTTTATTGAAATTTCTCAGGCAGAAGGGGAGTCTGGAGACAGGGATAAGGGATCCATGCAGCCTTTCATCACAGAGTTAAAGAGAAGGGCAGTATCCAGCACAGAGCAACCCCATAAGAAGAAAATGTCAGACCACAGTCTTCTCACCCAAATGCTTTAGAGAAGCAGATTCTTATACATCAGTCCCCAGAGGAAACTTACCCTGGCTATTCCTTTCAAAAGATGAAATTTATTTCCTTTTATTTCCTACAGATTCCAATAGAAACAAAATTTTAGATTTAATTTTCTAAATATAATATCCTCCAATGTAACAATGTCACAGAAGACGAATGCGGATGCTATGATGAGCACGAAGAAAAGAAGGATACTTTTAAATACCTTAAGAAGGATTTACTACATGTGGTTATGTTCCAAGTTTTGGAATGGGCTTGTTAGTCTTTATGTGTCTCTGTATATATATATATGTATTTATGTACATATATGGAGGCTAAAATCACACAGATTTTCTTATTTCATACCATAGTTTGTAGACAGCTTGTACAGTTACTAAAGAACATATAAATATTTGAAATCTTGTATTTTATAGCACAGACTAACAGTTACAAGTAATATTTTATCTTCAACTTGTATATAACTTGTATAAAGTTTTCTTGATGGTTTGTAAGACATTTAGTAGACTGAATTATTAAACTTGTTCTCAGCTCAGTACTATGATCATAGTGTACAAAGCAACTAAGGTATCTACTGTAAAACATGAAGGTTGTTCAGGAAAGACACAGGATGTTCAGAGACAAACATGACTCATTAATTTGGATTGGGCTGGTGTAAAGTGCACACAAGAGGATATGTTTATAGTGAACATCTGTAAGTAATGACTTCAGTAACTGTGTATGTCTGGCTGCATTTGTCAAATACACCACCGAGGCAGCTCATGATCAGTGAGACCCCGTGCATGGACAGAGGCGCTGGCCCCAGAGCTGGGCTCGGAGGGGCTGTGGGTGCGGAGCTGCCAGGCTGGACTGCTTGGGTCTGTGGACAGATGCACAGAGGAATTTAGCTTAAAGAGTCTACTATGACACTCTGCACAACCCAGTCTGCATGACTGCCATCAATTAAGTCCCGCTGAAAGTCTAAGGCTTGAAGATGAACTACATCACAACTTCTAGAGGAAAAAAACCAACCCCCAAAGTGACAGAACTTTTAATTTTACATAACAAGTGCTGGAGTTATAAAAATCTTCAGCCTAAAGGGAAATGTAACCATCCTTGGAGTCTTAAAGAAATAGCAGTGTGAAATCACAGAAGTTTTTAGTTTTTTAAACCTAGTTTTAACTTTCAACCAAGCTGGGGTGACCGAAAGTGTGCATTTGGACTTGAAGTGAAGAAGGGCTGAAGGGAAGGAGAATGTGTTCTGGGTAAACCAGAAGCACAGTTTTTATCTTGATAGTATGCAGATCTTAAGAACAAAATTTAAAGAAAACCAGACAGAAATAAATGGGGAGAAATGCAGCTTGTTTTTAAAAAAGGTACATATACATATGCAACGTTCAACTGGCATCTTCATTTAGATAAACTGCCTTCCAAAGGGAAATGACATCAACATCACCTCTCTGAACCTGAGTAAAACCTTCCGTGCCCTGCCACACAGGCAATTTTTGATGTCATTGGAGAAGATGGGATGACTAAAGGCACTAAAAGGCAAAGGTGGATTATGCTAAAGAGGAGGTGACGACTAGGAGCTTTGAAAAGGAAACACCAGAACAGAGGGAGCACTAATCTGTTAAATTTATTTATTTTTTTTTAAATCTGGAGTTATCTGATGAACTCTGCTAATGATACAAAGCTGGAAGTCAATATTAAAGTGAGGAGGTTTTGAATACAGAAAGAATGAGGTGAGCTTGAAGAGTGAGGTAGAGAAGTTCAGCTTTCAGAAAACACACTCATGCATTTGCAGATGAATAAGAAGCTGTGGTTCTTTGGTGGGTGATCGTGTGCCCAACATGGTACAGGAGATGTGGCCCTCGGTGGCAATCACAGAGATGCTACGGGCAGCTCTCTGCAGACAGCAGACAGATGGTGGGCAGTTGTACAATCCTGCTGCACTTCTGAGCGGGACACAGCAGACTCACTGTCAAGTATGTGCCATGTGCCAGACACCGAGCACAGCAATACCTGAAAACAGGTATAATCAGGACATTGCCAAATTGCTTTTCTACTGCAGTCTTCCAAAAACCATAGATTATATCAGAACAGATTTTCCAGCAGAACAAGAAAGATATTAATGCTACTGTGCAATACACAGGGGAGATTGCACTCTAAATACTCTGAACTTCAGGACTGAGTTCTCCAGTTCAAGAAAGATGGTATCAAACTGCAACTAATGAGGGAAATTGTTATGACAATCTTTGTGGAATGGAGAGCCTGTATCTAAGGACTGGAAAAAAAGAGAAATAGATACAGGGATTTAACCTAAAAGAGAGGAAAAGCTATGCAAGATAAAAAATAGTATTGTCCTGTGAGAGGAAAAAATAAACTGGCCAAAATTAAATATTAGCAAGATATTAGAAGATGGTTCCTCATTTTTACAATGGTGAGATGATTCTGCAACGTTCTTTCCAGCTAGAACAAGAGGAGCCAAACACTAAACTACTTTTAAGACGAGGCTTAAACATATTTATGAAAATCATGATACCACATCATACCAGTTTAATCTGAATTGTCTGGCTCAGGCTGTTCTTTCCACTCCTGTGCTCATATGCACCTATACAGACCCAGGCAAACATCCCTACTGAAAGCAAGTCAGCTATATATGAAGTGCAGTATGCTGTGGAATATCACATGTTGCACTTCAAAACCATATGGGATTTGTTGACAGGTTTAAGAAAAAAATATTATTTTCTAAATTGCCCTTTTCAGAACAATTTATTCCAATACTAATGACACTTCTGACACAGCACAGAGCCCCAGAGGATAAATCCCCCTTCTGAAACTATTCACCATTTCTTGAATGGACATGATACTTAGACAGCCTTGACCAGAGAGCCTTGCACTCCCATGCCACATGTCCCTACCAGCTACTTGCCATCCTCTTAAATCACTTCACTCCTTATTTTTCAGTGTTGACACCAGCAGCATTGTATTCCTGATGCTTTATGTGATTTCCCCTCCAGGTACTGGTTATTTCTGCATTCAACTCTCTGTTATTCTAATACTAACATTCCTCTGAGCAGTTTACCCTCATGCAGATTATAGCACAGACCTCTTGTTGTGGGATATCATGGAGATTCAGATTTACTGCTTCATTCTTGAGACAGGGACCTTCAGAAACCTGGGTATTTAGGTTTCCAAATGTCCTCCATCCGGCACTGCTGCTGCTTGGTTAGAGCCCTACCATACATCACTTCTTAATATTTTACTCATGAATTAAGCCAAAAGGCAAATGTCATACCTGCTTTCTTTTTGGTAAGCTGACAGGCATCGTGTTAATTCATCATGACATATCCTGAGTCTATCTCTCCTCAGCACAGTGCAGATGCTCCATAACTAAATAACAGGCATTTTGCAGCCAGCGAGAGGGATGGAAAATAAGAAGCCACAGAGCCTGTGATGCTCAAGCCTACTCTCAAGCCTGGTTTTCACTTTGTCTTGCAGAAGAGATTGCCTGTGTGAAATATAGAAACAAAAAATTAAAAGCGTTTATTCAAGGTCTAGGGCCCAATGGAGAGAGGATTATAACATGCAAATTGAAATTTTTTCAGTTTCAAACTTTCTATTAAGAAAGAAGTTATCTTTAAGCACTTCTTCACTGAAATGTCACTCACAGTTCTCTATTCCTCATCCTTGTTCTGAATGAAGTTTATTTTCTCACTCTATGCATCTTCTCCCTTCTGCTTCCTTAGAAAATGCCTCAAAGTCTACCTGATCCAGCAATGGCTGAAGTTCTTCCATTAAACATTATTACATAAAAATGGAAACATTCCTGCCTGCTTGCAGACATTATCACTCTTCCCATTACCAGAATTGTATTACAATGTGTCCTTCTGGCACTCGAGGATCACTTCTATTCTATTATCAAAATTGCTTATTAAAGTTTCATAATGACTGAGTTAACTTACCAGCTTCCTGCTGCTATTCCACCCATACCTTTCTGGATGTATGTTGCATTTTTTAATATTTTAATCTCTTGCACTAATGAAAAAAACCCAACAAATTAATGCCCCATACTTAAGAGAATAAGGAGATCTAATTCAAAGTAGGAAAACTTTCTGAAGTTGCTGTCTTATGGCTAAGTCAAGACTGAAAGAAGCTTTAAACTTCATTATTCTCACTCACACTACCCTAATGAATGCAGCCAGTTCAGTTTACAAACTTGTATGAATCATTAGTGTGACTAAAAT